CCCTCCACGGGCCACTTTGGGGTTTATAAGACTTTAAATACGATTTCCAGAGATTTTTGGTGGCCCCGTTTAAGCTACGACGTCAAATCATATGTCGTATCCTGCCCCACATGCCAAAGGGCCAAGCATCAACCCGGCAAGCCCCCGGGTCTCCTCCAGGCTTTGGAGACTCCCCCAGGCCCCTGGCATACCCTCTGCTGCTATGTGAACTACCAACAAGACGACTGGTCCATCTTTCTTCCGCTGGCGGAGTTTGCTTACAACAATTCCATACATGCCTCAACTCATCAAACTCCTTTTTTTGCAAACCTAGGATACCACCCACGTACATTTCTCTCTGCCCTGCCGGCCACTTCCGTTCCTGCTGCCGGCGATATTCTACAGGACTTATCCTCCATACAGGCTGTGCTCAAAGAGCAGAAGGACCAGGCCAAAGCGGCTTACAAAGACGTTGCAGACCGCTCTAGACAGCCTGGGGGTCCTCTCCACATAGGTGACTGGGTATGGCTATCCACCGAATTCCTCTCTCTTTCAGTGCCCTCCCACAAATTGGCCCACAAGCGGGTAGGACCTTTACAAATTGTTGCCCAAATCAACCCTGTAACCTTCCGCTTAGCTTTACCTCCCTCTATGAGATTACACCCAGTGTTCCACTGGGCGCTACTCTCCCCTGCCTCTCAATCACACCACCTCAGATCTCAACCCCCACTACCCCCACCCGTTTTGGTGGATGGAGAAGAATTTGAGATCGAAGAGATACTTGACTTCAGATTTCGAAGGGGCCAGCTCCAATATCTTGTACAGTGGAAGGGATAACCCCCCAAGGAACGTACCACATTGTTCACATTCACGCACCCATCCTCCTCAGACAATTCCACCTTCGTTTTCCTCACAAACCAGGTGGTGCATGGCGTTTACAACACCAGGGGAGGGGAGATTGTGGAGGGGGGGGGGGTAGTGTCGTGCCTGATGCCTCGGCCGTGATGCCTACTCACGAGAAAGAGACAGGAGCTGGCAGTGAGAGTTTGGCATTTGACCAAGGAGACTTATATTTGAGAACCAATGCTCAGACGCCCAGACACAGCCTGACTCTCTGGCTGCTGAGCAAGAGACCTCTCCTCCACCTCATCCCTTGGCCCCTGAGCACACAATCCCCCCGCAGACCGAGGGGGATGTGTCTGAGAGAGTAGTTCCCTCTGATTCTAGCTCTGGACTGCCTGGGAAAGATGCACCCCCGACTCCAGACCCTGAAGCTGCTGAACAGGGTTCAGCAGAAGAATTAGCATCCACCCAAGATAGAAGAGCCTTGATGGAACCAATTACGACGAAGGGACGAGGCTCTGTCACGCCGTCGGGCGGAAAGACGAGACAGGAAGGTTTGATACCACGTGCTGCTTTCGTAGTGAACTCAGAAAGAAGCAGCAACTGCAGCTTGTAGAAAGCTTGTTAGTGGAGCTTATCAGCTACTTCGTAAATCTTGTGGAAAGTAGCAATAAAAGTTTATAGCTGATATACGGCCTGCTGTGTGAGTTAATTGAAACGTGAGACCACCTCAAGACACCAGTAAAGATGTCAAAGAGAGGATGGAACTAGTCACATGTTGTTGTTGTTAGTCGCGAAGTCGTGTCCGACCCATCGCGACCCCATGGACAACATTCTTCCAGGCCTTCCTGTCCTCCACCATCTCCCGGAATCCATCCAAGCTCAAACCAACTGCTTCAGTGACTCCATCTAGCCACCTCATCCTCTGCAGTTCCCTTCTTCTTTTGCCATCTATTGTGCCCAGCATTAGGCTCTTCTCCAGGGAATCGTTCCTTCTCATTAGGTGGCCAAAGTATTTGAGTTTCATCTTCAGGATCTGGCCTTCTAAAGAGCAGTCAGGGTTGATCTCCTCTAGGACTGACCAGTTTGATCGCCTTGCGGTCCAAGGGACTTGCAGGAGTCTCCTCCAGCACCATAATTCAAAGGCCTCAATCCTTCAGTGCTAAGCCTTCCGTATGTTCCAGCTTTCACAGCCATACATTGCAACTGGGAAAACCATAGCCTTGACTATACGCACTTTTGTTAGCAGGGTGATGTCTCTGCTTTTTAGTATGCTGTCTAGATTTGCCATAACTTTCCTCCCCAGGAGCAAGCGCCTTTTAATTTCTTGGCTGCAGTCTGCGGTGATCTTGGAGCCCAGGAAAATAAAATCTGTCACTACCTCCATTTTTCCCCCATCTATTTGCCAGGAAGAGAGAGGACCGGATGCCATGATCTTAGTTTTCTTAATGTTGAGTTTCAAGCCAACTTTTGCGCTCTCCTCCTTCACCTGCATCAAGAGGCTCTTTAGTTCCTCTTCAGTTTCTGCCATGAGAGTGGTATCATCTGCATACCAGAGGTTGTTGCTATTTCTCCCAGCAATCTCAATTCCAACTGGTGATTCATCTAGCCCCACCTTTCTCATGATGTGTTCTGCATATAAGTTAAACGGGCAGGGTGACAGTATACAGCCTTGCTGAACTCCTTTCTCAATTTTGAAACAATCAGTGGTTCGGTGCCCAGTTCTCCCTGTTGCTTCTTGACCCACATATAGGTTTCTCAAGAGACAAATAAGATGGTCTGGTACTCCCATCTCTTTAAGGACTTGCCACAATTTGTCGTGATCCACACAATCAAAGGCTTTAGTGTAGTCAATGAAGCAAAAGTAGATGTTTTTCTGGAACTTCCTAGCTCCTGGTCTAGTTTTTACTGACTGTATAGAGCTTCTCCATCTTTGGCTGCAGAGCACATAGTCAATCTGATTTCTGTGTTGACCGTCTGGTGATGTTCATATGTAGAGTCGTCTCTTGGGTTGTTGGAAAAGAGTGTTTGCTATGACTATCGTATTCTCTTGACAAAATTCTACCAGCCTTTGCCCTCCTTCATTTTGTACTCCAAGGCCAAACTTGCCTGTTATTCCGGTTATCTTTTGGTTTCCTACTTTAGCATTCCAATCCCCCATGATGATAAGGACATCATTTTTTGGAATTAATTCTAGAAGGTGTTGTAGGCCTTCATAGAACTGGTCAACTTCAGCCTCTTCAGCACCAGTGGTTGGGGCATAGACTTGGACTATTGCGATGTTGAATGGTTTGCCTTGGATTCGAACTGAGAACATTCTGTCATTTTGGAGATTGTTTCCCAGTACTGCTTTTCCTACTCTTTTATTGACTATGAAGGCTACTCCATTTCTTCTGAGGGATTCTTGCCCGCAGTATTATACCTGATGGTCATCTGAATTAAATTCACCCATTCCTGTCCATTTTAGTTCACTGATTCCTAAGATGTCAATGTTCAGTCTTATCATCTCTTGTTTGACCACATCCAGCTTGCCTTGTTTCATGGATGTTACATTCCAGGTTCCAATGGAGTATAGATCTTTGCAGCATCAGACTCTTTCACCACCAGATACATCTGCAACTGAGTGTCCTTTCGGCTTTGACCCGGTTGCTTCATTCTTTCTGGTGCTACTAGTACTAGCCCTCTGCTATTCCCCAGTAGCATATTGGACACCTTCCGACCTGAGGGGCTCATCTTCCGGCGTCATATCTTTTTTCCTTTTGGTACTGTCCGTGGAGTTTTCATGGCAAAGATACTGGAGTGGGTTGCCATTTCCTTCTCCAGTGGATCACGTTTTGTCAGAGCTCTCTGCTATGACCTGTCCGTCTTGAATGACCCTGCACGGCATAGCTCATAGCTTCATTCCAGGTAGTAGTGTCTATGAATAAGTAAACTTGTTTAAATAACAGTGTGCTTTGATGGTATTGGAGGCTGGAGTCACACAAATGCAGTAATTAATTTAATAATTCATTGCATGACACTCCGTCTGACTTGCACTCCAGCTACAACAGGCTGGTATCACTTCTGCTGAGAAGCCAGGTCCATCGGCCACCTCTGTCTATCAGCTGTCATCTAGCAAGGGCCATTTACATCAAAGGAAAGGACAGATAGCAGGGCCAATCCCTAAGCTAGCTGAGCTTATCTACAAGCTAAACTGACTGACCACCAACGTTGGGCTTCTTCTTTCCTGTTTTCCATACCAGCTGTTCTTCATGGGAACTTTGTAGCTAAGAATTCATTCCAGAGTTTGCTTTTTTAATTCCTTCTTTCCATTTTTTCTTTATGTAGGGTAGGCAGTATTAATACATTACAAAGTACATTGTGCTAATCACATAGCATGGAGCTGAGGGTTAGCTTTTTCTTTACCATAATGCAAATGCAAGTGGCCCCAATTTGGACTAAGACCACCATATACCCTATCCAATGAGCAAGTTTTTAAAAAAATCTCCCTGGACAAGTTTTATTTCTCTCTCTCTCTCTTTTTCAACCTATACCCACCCTGGAGCTATGTAGATTGGGGTGGGGAGGGGTAGGAAGAAGTCTGGATTCTTGCTCTTGGTGTACAGTGAAGCCAATCTGAATCAGGGTTGCTTGTGCTCACGCTAAAGGAAAAAATCTTACACTGAACTATGTGATTAGCATAACATGGAACCTGTCTCTTAGTTCCAGGGACTGAGATACAAAATATGTAAGATCTTTTACCTGCATAATGTTAGAAGATTATTTATTCTCAGCTATTCATAAACTGGTAATAAATGAAGCCCTGCCCCTGTCCCTGTGTGTTCCAAGAGTAGCCCATATATATGACAAGCTGTGCTCATGTGAGGGATCCATGTGATTGAGATCTCCAATTATGCAAGCATTCCAATCATTTGGGACCCAGTCACATGAACAGTTAACCCCTTCAACTTCTAATTAATCTGGGTCAGCTAAAATAAGTGGTATGATTGGATACTGATAAAGGGACAATATAAGAAGTTTTACCCAAGCCAGGACTGGGCAATTTGGAACCCTTCTGATGTTCATACTTATAATGTCCATCACCCCTGATCACCGACTGTGCCAGGTAAGGGCTGATGGAAATTGTAGGTCAAAACATCTGGAAGGCCACAAGGCTTCAGAACACCAGCAAACGATACCTTCCTCCAGGACTACCACTATCTTCACTGTCCCACTGTTCCATTTTGCTTCTTGGTACTGGAGGTTGGAGCATTTCATCAGCCAATGGATCTGCATCATTCTCTTCACGGCCAACCCATTCTCCAACAACACGGGGTCGTAAAAGAGGAGCATTAAAGGCTATTGCATCCTAGAATGGGAAAAATGTTACTGCTTATTTATAGTACCATAGGGAAAAGAGGGAAACAAGAACTACACAAGTTTAATTATATTACCTGGAAAAATGCAAAGTTCATCACTTAAATCAGTAAAGTTTTGATGTTTGGGTAGTGCAGCATGAACAGCCAAAGTCTTTAAGCAGTACACTTATTTTAAGTATATAGGTTGTCAGTGCAAAATAATTTGCAGCTTGTAGATCTAGACAAAACAGCCTTCAGTGGTACATCTGAACCATCTTTCTAGATCAGACTACAGGATTTTGTTTTCCACAATGGTCAATGTGATTCCCTCAAAGTAATTAGCAGAGCATGAAAATAATGCCTTTTGCCACATTTGCTTAACGGGAGCCACATTCAGGAGCTGTATTCAGCAAATTGTTTCTCAGCAGAGAGGTTCTATACAACCATATAATTAACAGCCATTAGTTTAGACATTATAATTTGAATGAATTGTCATGTTTCAAGGATAAAACAGGAGCCTGGCAAAGTTCATGTTGCTCTAAATTCATGTTGCTGAGAGGAAAGGCAGAGACAGAAGTTCTAAGATCAGATCTGCTACTAGCACAAATCTCTGGGCAGGCGTTTGTTTGAAATCCAGTAGGCTTTATCCCCTCAGGAAGAGGTATCTTGAAGATCCATCCAAATCTGACAGATTAAAAAAGTTATAGTCATGTGTTGATTTCCCCATTAAGAGTCATTGAAGCTTTGAATTTCCAGGTGGAGCGGATGTTTCCCAAAATGTTCTAAATAGTCTCCTTCACAAAGCATTGCAAAGAAATCTGAAGTAATTTATTTTCCAGTAGATATTCCTAATTATTATCACAGCTCAAATGTCTATTTCAGCTTCCCCTACCCGAATGCTCTCCAGGTATTTCGGACTTCAGCTCCAATGGAAGTTGTAGTCCAAAACATGTGAAGATCATCAGGTTGGGTAAAACTGGTCTACATAGTAATAATCATTCTTATTCCTGTTACGCATTATTTCTACAATCTTACCCCACCCATTCCACATAAGAAAAAAATTTTAAATTTAAAACTCAAAATGTCTTTTACACATGCTTTTGCTAATCTTTAAGCATAGCAACCAGAAATGTACTAAAAAAATTAGACATTAAATATATAATTTTTCAGAAAAATCATTCAGTATGCCAAAATTGCTCTATTCAATTTCATTCATTGCCTGTTATTCTCTCAGAAAAAATATTGATATATTTTGAATTCCTCCTAGAAGAGTAAAAATGCAGTTCTGTATATGGCTTCTGACAAATATATCTGGCTGAGTTACATAGAGCTTACTCTCAAGTAAGTAGATATATGACTGCAGTTTTAAATGACAAATATACATACAGAGTTATGATGCACATCTAAATCAGTGGTAAAGATACACATTCTAAGTCATCACTAACTGCAAATATGATTTTAAAGAGAAGGGATCTAATTGAGCATATTCTTCTGAGTTTCAGAGTTCAATGATATTTCATCCCTGAAGCAGTAATGACCTACTTAAGGAAGAACAGACTGTGCAATAAAAGAACAGGGACAGTATCCTTTTTAAATTCATTTCATTCATCAGTGCTGGAGAATAACACTTCTTGCCGTATTATCCATGCTTCTACAGAGTCCCTTTTGTCCCAGCTAATTGTCCCAACTACCATTAGGCAGGGCAATGGCTGCCTGAGGTAGTATAATTTGAATGCTACAAAAGCACAGCAAAGCATTCACCTCATTTACTATTGCTGTATTTTTTTTCTACAAGGAACAGGGATGGGTGTTTTCAAAGATTTATTTTTCTAAGATTTATTGCCACATGTGCAAAGTTACTTTATCAGCCTGGAGCATATGACATATTGTGTGTGACAGTGGGGGGGGGGGAGGTATTTCCTGTCCTGCTCAAACGCCTTGGGCCAGTCCTGGTGGCTGACAGCATTTTTCTAAGGTACAGAAAAGAGATGGAACATGTTAGAGGGCAAGGCCATAGTTCAGCAACAGAACAGGGTCTTTGCATGAAGAAGGTTCCAAACTAAGGTACATGGACCTCCAATTAAAAGGGATTCCAGAAAATGTATTTCTCTGAGACTCTAAAGAGCCACTTACTAGTCAAAGTAGATGGGCCAGTGGTCTGACCTACCATACACATAACCATGGGGCTAACAGTTTGTTTTCCACAATGCTCATAAAATAATGAAGTTTAAGAAATACTTCAAAGAAAGAAAAGTGTACAGTATTAGTTTCCAAGCACAATGCCAAAAAAAGAGAAAATTCTCCAGAACCAGAAGTTGAGCAACAAAAAAATGTTAACAAAAGAACAAAATACATAAATCAGTGCAGCGTCACTCCTGCTGGGGCGTCCCTCAGGTCCTGCTGAGCCATCTCTCCCATCCCTGGTCCCCTCAGTGACACCAGCGCACCCCCCATGAATGTGATGTCAACCAAGGAAGAGGTGGTGGAACACAGCCAGCCCCTGCACCAATCCAATGTGAATGGCATGCCTCCAAGCCTGACCGGCAGAAAATCTCCCATGGACCAGCACCAGTCCAAAGACCGGTGGTTGAAAACCACTGTCTTATAAGACTGTCACCTGCCCAAATTCCTCAGAACCCAGGTATGTAGGCATGCCACCTCTGATCATGGAGGTCGCCCATAGCCAATAAGGCTTATAGTCATTGATAGCATCCTCCCCATAAATTTGCCGATGCCCTTTTAAAGCCATCCAAATTGGTGGCCATCATCAGTTAGGTTTAATTATTCACTGTTTAACCATATGTTGTGTGAAGAACTAGTTCCTTTACCTGTCTTGAATCTCCAATCAGCTTCCCAAGATGATCCCAGTTCTAGTACTAAGGCAGAAGGAGAAAAATGTCTCCTCCTCCACTTTCTCCACATTAGGCATAATTTTAAATGCCTCTATCATGTCTCCCTTTACTTGCCCATTTCTAAGCTAAATATTCCCAGTTGCTGCAGCTGCTGCTCATAGGAGAGTTACTCTACCCCCTAGATCATTTTTGTTGTCTTTCTCTGTACTTTTCCCAACTCAATAATGTCCTTTTTCATAAAAGGTTACCAAATCTATGCTTAGTATTCTAAGTGCAGCGCACCAAGGATTTATATAAGGACAGTATGATCTTTTCAGTTCCATCCCCAATTATGCCTAACATGGAGTTTGCCTTTTCTCAGCAGCTATATACTGGGTTGTCACTTTCATTGAGCTGTCTACCCTGTCCTCCAAGATTCGTGATCGCTCACAGCTGGCTCAAATTCCATCAGCCTATACCTGAAGCTGGGATTTTTTGTCCCAACGTACATTACTTTACACTTGCTTACATTGAACTGCATTTGCCATTTTGATGCCCATTCTCCAGCTTGGGAAAATCCCTTTAGAGCTCTTAATAATCCCTATTGGTTTTAACCACCCTAAATAGTTTAGTGTTATCAGCAAACTTGGCCACTGTACTGTTTACTCCTAATTCAAACTCATTTATGAATAGCTTGAAAAGCTTTGGTTCTAACACAGAACCCTGTGAGACCCCACTAGTTACTTCTCTTCACCTGCAGAAATTTCTATTTATTCTCACTCTCTGCCTTCTGCTCTTTAAGCAATTACTGATCCATAAGCAGATATCCCCCTTTTATTCCATGATTGCTTAGTTTGCTCAGGGACATTTGGTGAGAGACTTTGTCAAAAGTCTTTTGGAAGTGCAAGTAAACACTAGCTAAGTTAGCAAGACAGGTTTTCCTCTTGCAGAAGCCATGTTGATTCTTTTCTAGCAGAGCTTGTCCATCTATGTGCTTACTGATTCTATCTTTTATAACGCTTTCAAGTTACTTACCCAGAGCAAGAGTTAAGCTAGCTGGTCTGTGATTCTCTTGGTTCCCTCCTCATCTATTTTTAAAAATTGAATTCCATTGCCCATTCTCAAATCCTCTGGAAGATAGGCTGATTTCAGGGACATATTAAATATTCAGTAAGAAGGGCTGCATTTCATATTTGAGTTCTTTTAGAACTCTAGGACAGATTTGCTGACTTTCAGTCTGTCAATAAGATTTGCTGACTTTCAGTCTGTCAGTAAGATTGAGAATTTCATCTTTTGTCACTACAATCTACTTTAATTCCAGAATTCCTGACGCCCTTCCAGAATAAATTCAGTAAAAAGTATCTGTTCTGCACCCTCTGCTATGAAGACTGATGAAAAAAATTCATTTATTTTTAAATATCCTCATTCTCCTTCGCTGTTGTTAGTTGCGAAGTCGTGTCCGACCCATCGCGACCCCATGGACAACATTCCTCCAGGCCTTCCTATCCTCCACCATCTCCCAGAGTCCACGCAAACTCATGCCAACTGTTTCAGTGACTCCATCTAGCCACCTCATTCTCTGCCGTCCCCTTCTTCTTTTGCCATCTATTGTGCCCAGCATTAGGCTCTTCTCCAGGGAGTCCTTCCTTCTCATTGAGTGGCCAAAGTATTTGAGTTTCATCTTCAGGAACTGGCCTTCTAAAGAACAGTCAGGGTTGATCTCCTCTAGGACTGACCGGTTTGATCACCTTGTGGTCCAAGGGACTTGCAGGAGTCTCCTCCAGCACCACAATTCAAAGGCCTCAATCCTTTTGCGCTCAGCCTTCCTTATGGTCCAGCTTTCACAGCCATACATTGCAACTGGGAAAACCATAGCCTTGACTATACGCACTTTTGTTGGCAGGGAG